AGTTGCTCATCAACCTGCTTCTTGACCTCTGCTAATTCGTTGGCCGCCATCCTGTACGGTCTCTTGTAAATTGGCGCGGTTCCCGGTGCCAAATCAATCCGGAATTCAATCTTTCGCTTGGGTGGCATGGTAGTGAGATCTTCGGGAAACACTTCTGGGTACTCGCAGACTATAGGAATCTCTTCCAACTTCCTCGAATTCTTCTCCTCGGTGACCACTGGGATTTCCATCTCGATCTGATTCAAGGAGACCCCTTGCTTTGGTGAGACTAGTGATTTGTACACCACGGTTTCTCCCTTCTCGTTGGTCAAGGTGACTGTGCGATTCGCACAATCGATGACTCCCTTAAACTTGGTCAGCCAATCCATCCCAAGAATGACATCTAGGTCTTTGGATTCGAGAAGAATGAGGTTGGCTAGAAATGGTGATCTTTGGATTTCTATTAGCACTGAAGGGCTAAAATTGACTGAGGTTGAACTATTTCCTGGGGTATGAACCCTCATTGGTGTACTAAGCTCTTCTTTCCTTAACCCATGCATCCCCACAAATTTCTTTGAAATGAAAGAATGCGTTGCACCAGAATCAAAAAGTACTGTTGCAGGGATTGAGTTAACAGGGAACGTACCCAGTACGACCTCTGGTGCTGCTTGCGCCTCCTCTGTAGACGCGTGGTTGACACGAGCCTAGACAAACCTTGGCCCGGCACGCCTGGGCTTCGGGCATTTGTCGGCGAAGTGGCCAAGCTCACCACAGTTGAAACAGGACCCAGGTTTGGCTTCGGTCTCCTTAGCTTGTGCGGACGGGCCTGATTGTGCTGGTGCCACTGGTGGGCGTGGAGCTGCACCGCGGTTAGGCTGACCTCCATGGTGGTTCTGACTGCCACTAGCGCCCTGGTGGAAGTTGCTGGAGTTGAACGGGCGGTGCTGGCGGACGATCATGGTGGTAGGTCCACCCTGCTGTCCGGGAGTGAAACGCGGTCGCTGATGGTTTCCTTGGTTGGACCGGAACTGTGCCGCCTTTCTCTTCCTGTCCATTTTGTTGCGCTGATCCTCCTGACGGATTGCCTTGTCAACCAGTCTTTCAAAATCAGCGTAGTCCCCAGATATCAGTTGGTTGGTCAGCTCGTCATCCAGACCTGCCATGAACTTTTCCTGCTTCTCGGCGTCAGTGCGGACATCCTCCGGTGCATATCGCGCGAGGCGATTGAACTCATGGAGGTACTCTGTCACTGTCCTATTGCCCTGATGGAGCGCCCGGAATTCCCTCTTCTTTTGTGCCACGACCCCGTCTGGCACCTGTGCCTTCCTGAAGCTACGACAGAACTCCGCCCAAGTGACTTCAGTGCCTGGCGGGCGGGTGGCCATGTGATTGTCCCACCAAGCTGACGCAGGACCTTGAAGCTGGTGTGTGGCGAAAGCGACCTTCTCCTGATCATTGCACTGCAGGAGATTCAGCTTCTTCTCTATGGCATGGAGCCAGTCATTCGCCTCCATGGGGTTGGTGGTGCTGGAGAAGGTGGGTGGCCTGACACGTAGAAACTCTGGCAACTTGGACTGAGGGGGAGGGGGACCAAACTGCCGGTGCTGCTGTTCAGCGTGCTGCAGCATCCTCTGGTGCATCTGCTGGTGCTGCTGCTGCATCTGCTGCATCATGGCTGCCATCATCTGAGTCTGATGTGCCATAACTTGGGCTAGCGTCGGATTCTCGGGAAGTGGTGGCGGACCATTGCCGGAATCACTGTTGGGGTGCACACCATCAGCGCGTTCTTCGCCGTTGCTGCCCTCGCCTGTCGTGCGGGTGCCAGTCCTGGTGTAGACCATCTGGAGGAAGAGCAGACGGGGAAACGGAGAAAAACAGATACTCAGGAACTAAGCTTTATTATATAGAAATTTAAACTGCAATTGTTCTAATCTGAATTAAAATACTTTAAACAGCAAGCAAAAATCCTTATTAAGACAGCCATATCATAGGCACATGATATCGACTGTCAACTGACCCCAAGCAAGCAACCTAAACACACAAACTAACAAGCAGAAGCTAGACAGTCGATAAGCTAATGGAAAACGAGCCTAATGCTCGGAACGGCTCCTGCGGTCGGTGAAGTTGAAGGCGTCCTCCTGCTCGTCACCAGGTCCTCTGAGCGACTCCTGGAGCCTGGCAGATAAGTCTCGCCGCTGCCCGGCTCTATGCCACTGGAGCTGCTGCTGCTGCGGTCGCGACTGCCACTGGGAGTAGCAGGCAACCAACCCCCATTGCCACTGGCGGGGCCCCTGACGGCTGATGCAGGTGCGAAGGAGAGAGCGGATGCTGGAGCTGACACGGGAACAGGAGCTGGGGCTGGCGCTGGAGCTGTAGGAACTGCTGGAGCTGCGGGCGGAACTGGAGGTGCTGCGGGAGCTGCTGACGGAGGTGGGTTCCTGGGCGCAAGCTGGATGCGCACGGGTGCCGTTGTCGACTTGCGAGGCGTGGTGCGGATCTGGACTCCTCCTGGCGCGGGAAGACCCTTCAACTGAGCATTCTCCCTCTTCAGGCGCGCTATCTCGTCCTTCAGAGCGACGATCCTCATGAGCTTCCCATCATTCAAGGCCTTGGACGCCTTGTGCAGGTCCGAGTGCATCCTGTCCATCCCCCTCATCACAGCGCACGTGACTGAAGGTGGTGTCGTTCTCGCCGGCTGTCGGACGGAAGGAACTGACATCACTGTCGTTGGCTCGACGAGGGTGGAAACGGTACACCGTGTTGTGGAAGATGTAGTTGTGGCGCTCCCGCAGTCTGGCCATCATCAGATATGCTGCCTCCTGACATGCGTGATCTGCTGTGGCTCCAGACGCCTCGACCACCATGTTAGCGAGGCAAGTCCCCACGTAACCATGGACCTCCAAGCGGACACGGTGAGGAAGCTCGCCACTGAGCGGTGGAACAGTCGTGTACTCCGGCGCGTTGGGGTAGCCCACCACCAGTGTCATGCGTGCCAACTCTGCCACGAAGTCATCCATGCCTTCTCCGCGGTGGTTGGGTGGGTGCTCGGCCATCTAGAGAAGACAAAGGGGTAGGATCAATGCATGCTCAAATCCAAATTAAATAAAGCAATAAAGGACTCAAATAAGAGAATCGAATAAGAGCGAAATTTTATGCATAGATTATTTTGCATGAGAGCGAATAAATAAGACGGACTTACATAGCGATAAGATAATGGGGAAATTAGATACATACTTATAATAACAATAAAAGCATAAATACCTTACAACTCATATTCCTGAGCTAAGAACTAATGCATTTCGCCCATCAAATCCCATCCAATCCCGACTGACGGTCAAAACATCTCAAATAATTTTACTAAAACCCTAGACCGACTTGTTTTGGCAAACCTCCCTTAAACGAGCGACAAGATTTTTTTCCCTTGAACCACGAGAACAGATCCCAAATTTTCCTGGAACAAATCCAATTGCAAAGAACTTATGCAATGAAAAGAATTCAGAGGGCTCTTAGGTTTTCCATTTGGCTTGTCCTACGGTCAAGGTCGGCTCTGATACCAACTTGTCACGCCCAGAAATTCCCGAATAGAATTCCAAGCAGAATATGCATTAAAACCCCCGTCCAGGACCGGCCGGGGTACACAAACGACAATGTTGACATACAGATCCACGTCTTACAAACATTATAAAAGTCTTACATAAATGCAGCGGGAAAAAGAAAGGTAACAGGAGCTAAGCCTTGACTTAAACTGCAGCGGGAACATCACTCCATAGGCATCCTCGACTGCACGGATGAAGCCTACTCCTCGAAGAACCCACCATCGGACACATACTCGTACTCTGGGGTTGGGGGAAAAATAGAGCAAGACTGAGTACTATCCACTGTACTCAGCAAGTCATACTCCGATTTCGCCGGCGACGTGGGGAAGGAGAGAGAGAAGATGGGAGGGGATTCAAAATTGAATCCCGCCCCTCTCGTGCGCAGGCGCGGCCGGGAGACGCGGGGAGAGGGGGCGGCGATGTGGAGTGGGCGCAGGCGACGCGGCGTGGGCGCGGGGAAAGCGGGGGAGGTGGGGCGCGGCGGCAGCGGTTTCGGGAGTGGTGACCGGCGCGGGTATTATTTGTATTACTTTCTTAGGGTTTTATCTTGATTTGCACCGGTATTTTCTTAGGGTCATTTATAAATTTAATTTTAAGCTTGGGAGGAGAACTTCAGGGTGTGACATCCATCACATCAACCTGTCATACACACGTAACTTTTCAGTCACATCATCTCCAATTTCAAACAAAATCTAAACTTTGTGCTGAACTAAACACAGCCTACTAGTGGTAAAGGTATGTAGTACACTTCATATACTGATGTCATTCTAAGGTCGAGTTTAGATCCAAACTTTTTCTTCAAACTTTCAACTTTTCCATCATATTAAAACTTTTCTACACATATAAATTTCTAAATTTTCCGTCACATCGTTCCAATTTTAACCAAAATTTCAATTTTAATGTGAACTAAACACACTCTAAATTCTGCTCGCAATACATCTGGTCATCTGCCATCGTCGATCATATCTGACTGAAGAAACTGCCCTGTTGCCTGTTTTTGACTGTAGCTGTCTTTTCGATCTATCTTGATTGCATATTAGATGTGTCACACTCACATAGGGTATTGTTTAGATTCCAACTTTTTTCTTCAAACTTTTAACTTTTCAATCACATCGTTTCAATTTCTTCAAACTTCTAATTTTGGTGTGAAACTAAACTAGTTCACTTCAAACTTCTAAAAATTCTATCACATCAAATGTTTGGACATATGCATGGAGCATTAAATGTAGACGAAAAAACCAATTGCACAGTTTGCATGTAAATTACGAGACGAATCTTTTGAGCCTAATTACGTTATGATTTGACAATGTGGTGCTACAGTAAATATTTGCTAATGATGGATTAATTAGGCTTAATAGATTCGTCTCGCCGTTTACATGCGGAATCTGTAAGTTGTTTTGTTATTAGCCTATGTTTAATAATTCAAATGTATATCCGTATACTTTAAAAAAAATTGAAAAAGAACTAAACACGGCCCTAATATGGGAGTACTACTTATCATATTTCCTCAATATTAAAATAAATCAACCTAAAATACACAGACTAAATCATTTTCTAGGTTGGTTTAATTTAAAATGAGGGGAGTATGTACGTAGCTGTGCCGGCCGTATATAGGCATATTATTGTTATTGTTATTGTTGTACATACATGGCCAAAAATATACTGCATTACTGATAAAATTTAAGGAAGTTTTTTATTTCGTTGAATGCTATTAGGGCATGTTTAAGGGTGTGATCGTCCCTAGCACGCAAAGCGAAGCAGCGTTTAATGCATGATTAATTAAGTATTAGCTAAAATAAATTTGAAAAAGGGTTAATATGATTTTTATAGTAACTTTTATATATACACACACACACCTTTAGCAGTTTGCAAAGCCTGCGCGCAGAAAACGAGGTAGGTGAGTTGGAAAGTAGAGATAAGAACAAGATTATGGCCTTGTTTAGTTCCAAACTTTTTCTTTAAACTTTCAACTTTTCCATCACATCAAAATTTTTCTACATATATAAACTTTCCTACACACATAAACTTCCAACTTTTCCATCACATCGTTCCAATTTCAACCAAACTTCCAATTTTAGCGTGAACTAAACACACCCTATTTAGAGATCATATATAGAGATTGTAATCATTAAATGGAAAAATATATATTTTGTTACTATTTTTTATTTTTTTTTCATCCTCGTGCAACCATATTTTCATTTTATATAAAATAAGAGTTAATGTTGAACCGATGTTTGCCTTTCCTATTCTTGTGTCTTTTCTACCGAAGAAATATTTTCCTAATTAATAGTAAGACTAAGAGACATGTATTAATGACCATTGCATGCTTCTTTTCTCCAACTTCAAACGTCAGCTCTCTCCTTCTCCGTTAGCACATATTTCAAAATATTAAATGGTGCGTAATTTGCAAAATAAAAAGTCTACATAGAAGTTGTTTTAAAAATCTAATAAATCTTTTTAAAAATTTATTAATACTTAACTAATTAAGTGCTAATGAGTTTTTTGGTTTCACGTCCTAAAAACTAACCTCTAATATGCATGATCAAATGCAGCCTTAACTTACTAAGCCAGAAATATCGAATTTGTCAGATCTGTACTAAGCGTACGTACACGGGCCATGGGCCAAGCCGTTAGCCCAACTATGGTACTCCTTATAAGTAGGTGTTGTTAATTGTGATTGGGTGGCGCTGATTGCGGTGTTTTAATAACAATACTACTCCGTTACTGGGAAACAAGGAAAGAAATTAGTTAGTGAAGATTTGATTTGGCATACGAATAAATAGAATGAATTAAATGGTCAATTTCCGTTACTGGGACCCAATATATAAGGCACCGAATTGAAATAAATAGAATGAATTAAATGGTCAATTTCCGTTACGGGGACCCGATATACAAGGCACCAAATTGAAGGCTCTATATATACTCGGTCAGTCCGTCCATCCATTCATCCACGATCCATCATGGAGAAGAGAAGTTGTCTCGATTCATTCGTCCGCCGCAGTCGTCCACCGTCCGCCGGCGTCATCGATCTGCGCGGCGGCGCCGGACCTCGTTCGCGCCTCCACTCCAATCTTACAAAGTCGTCTCTGATCAAATGATATGTTATTTGATCACGAGACTTTGTTAGATTAGAGATCAAATGATATATTACGGGTACTATCGAGATTGGTTGGTGTTCTATCCATCCATTGATCCATGTTCCTTTCTTTTTTGTTTTTTCAATATTTGGTGCAACATGTTCTTTTTTATTCAACGCAAAACTATATTAGGACTCTATCGTTCTGCTTATTGACGGCATATTTGCAAACGGAAAATAATTTATAAATAAATTTTTTACATACGTGTTTTTAACGATATAAAAGCAAATGCTGAAAAATAAGCTACGATGAAAGAACCCTAAAATCAACTCTAGTGTTTAGATCTATTATAGCAAAAAGTGCTCGAAAACAGTAAAACTTTTATAGAACCAAACATGGCCTAAATTTAAGATAGAAAATTTAAATTTTGGCTTACAAACATAAAAACATAAGGCAAAAGACGAGGCACTAGGTTTGGGCCGGCCCAGGTTTTATAGGTATAAAAGGAACGACCAGCATCATTTCTCCACCTTCCGCCGCCGCCGCCGCCTTCACTGTGTGTGTCTCTCGTCCTCGGCCTCCGCTTCTTCGTTATTGCAGATCCGTTTCCCTGTGAGTTTAAGTGGTATTCGCGACTTGGATCTCCCTAGTCTTTTGCTCGCCGATTTGCTGTTTCTCGTGCGGATTTGTTGCTTTTGGTGGGTGCGGATTTGGATCTCTTGCTTGCCGATTTGTTTGTTTCTCGTGCGGATTTGTTGCTTTGGTTGGTGCGGATTTGGATCTCTTGCTTGCCGATTTCTCGTATGCTATTGCGTTTTGGTGGGCGTGGATTTGGATCTCATGCATTTTAGTACTGATTTGATTTGATTTTTCTTTTTTGATACTTGCAGGGAAGCCATGGCCACCAAGGAGGAGGACACAGAGGAGGTCATGTTCGAGAACAAGTTCACGCGCTACCGCAAAGGAGCGCTCGTCGGGACTAAGTCCGGTTTCGCATTCATCGTCTACCCCATGCCCTCCGGTAAGTTCTTTGCACTGCTTACCTGACCTGTGCCTCGTTGCTTACATGACCTTTGCTTCGTTGTGGTGTGCCTCATACTGTTTATTTGCATGCAGTTGGGTATTTCGACGATCCTCTGGTGGCCAGGAGGGACCAGGCCTCCGCTCTGGGTGGTACGCTGCTGCCTTTCCTCAATAAGCCTAACTGTGTTAAGTCACTGTGTTTGTGAAGCTATCTATTGGTCTGTATTTATGTATATAGTTCATTTGTTTTGTCGAATGGGTTACCTTAGTGTTCGTGACAAAAGGAATAGTCTTATTGGCTGCATGTATGTCAATGGTTCATTGGTTTTGTCACATGACGGATGAGTTATTCGTGACAAAAGGAATAGGTTTTAAGCTTTTGGATGAAGGGAATAGTAAACTGGTCAAATTTTCAACTTGTCATGTTGTGAACAGTTAACTTGGTCATTGGGTTCAACAACATTTTATTTTTTAATCTCTGTTGTTTCTATCTGGAGTGTCTTCTAGTTAAATAGAATTATAGATATATCTTCATGTTCTCTGTTGTTTCTATCTGGAGTGTCTTCTAGTTATATAGAATTATAGATATATCTTCATGTGCTGGTTTTTTTATATTCTAAGCACATGCAGCCATTTTATAGAAATTTTAGTTTAATGTTTGGACATCATTCTCCTGTTTTGTGTTGAAATGTTTTCATGTTGTCAATGCCATTACTGATTGAGGACTCTGAATTTGACCTCACAGTTAAATGCAACTATAATTTATTGTATCTTGGTTTTTCCCCCTAATTAACTACTAGGCGTCTCATTTACTCTTCACACTGTACAATTGGACCAATGAAATGTTTTCATGTTGTGAATGCCATTACTGATTGAGGACTCTGAATTTGACCTCGCTTGTTAAATGCAACTATAATTTATTTTATCTTGGTTTTTATCCCCCTAATTAACTACTAGGTGTCTCATTTACTCTTCACTGTACGACCAATATTTTCAGCTGAAGGTAAAGGGAAGATGGGAAAGGCATACATGAGCCAGAAGAAAGGCGTCAAAGCTGGTGGAAGGGCCCGTGGCCGTGGGGCCAAGTAATTTTGAACCGCTTGTAGTAGGGACGTTTTTTGTTCTATGTGGTTGAGTTTTGAACATACCTAAGTTGTAACTATAAGGTAGCGACTTAGCTGAACCACGCCACTCGGTTACCCACGAAGACAATTCAGCAGCAGTAACAATCATTTGAACCATACGCTATTTCGCTGCTGTATGTGATACTGCTTTTTTTGCAACTCTGGAAATATGTTGATGTCCTGCTCCGTTTGGGATTGCTAGTTTTCTGATGTGGTTCGAAGGGCACAGCTACTTGTCCTTGGCTGGTGGGATGTGCCCTGGAATCTGTGTGTTTTGGTTGTTTCAAAGGTTTGGTTTGCGGTTGTGTTTTACAATTGCACTCCACGAGTATAGCCAGGGAACCGAAAAAGATTTGCTTCGCTGCTCCTCCTGGTTACCCAAAAACAAGTTTTAGTACTGCAGAAACACGTCAATCTTGTGCTCTTGTCATCAATATTTTCTTGTGAACCTAAAGTACACGAGATTCGGGTATTAACCATTCACACATACTCCACCAGATTCAGGAGTAAAACAATTCGATAGATAAAAAGTCAACCGCCAGGAGATATGGCACCACATAATCCGGTCCCAGGACTGTCTGGCTGTATTGACCAACATTACTCATAAGATAAGAAACGCACACAAACAGACTGGAAATTAGAGACTATTAAGTGTGGCGGATGGGGTGAGTTCTGGGCGTATCCACGTAGGATTTCTACTGTATTTTTTTGCGAAAGCCCTCTGGTTCACGCGTAATTCGTCCGCAGTCCCCCGAGAATAGTACTTGTGAGGTGTTATTTTTCGTAAAGACCCTTAAAAAATATGGATATTACATGAGAAGTAAGGAAAGTACGCGAGTTAGGACCGCGCTGTAAAACTTAAAACTTGAGGGGCTTTTCGCTAAACTACCCGCACTAACCCAAACCCTAGCCGCCGCCGCCTGCATCCCCTCCCCTCCCCGCTCCCGTCTCGCCCTCTCCCTCTCCTGCCTTGCCTCGCGCCACCGCCGCCGCCGCAGTCTCGCGCCGCCACCGCCTCCCCCTCGCGCCGCCGCCGAACGCCGCCGCCGCTCCTCCTCTCTCTCCCTCTCCCTCAACCATCCTCCTCCTCCGCCGCCGGTCCACTCACCCCTAACCCTAGCCGCTGTCGCCCGCCTCCCCTCCTCCGCCACCGTCGTCGCCGTCGCCGTCGAGCGCCGCCACTTCCGCCGTCGCCTCGCGCCACCGCGTCCACATCTGCCTCGCCCTCGCGCCGCCGCTTCCACCTCCACCGACGCCGCCGTCGTGTCGCAGTCTCCGACTGCCTTCACCTCTGCCTTCCCCTCGCTCCGACGCCTTTCCGCCGAGCGTGGGCTTCGAGGTGAACATGGAGAAAGGGAGGAGGCGAACACTCTTCTCCACCCCCGCCGACGCCGACGCCGACGGCGCCGCCGCCTGCCCATCGCGGTGCCACCTCCTGCTCTCGCCGGCCTCCTCCGCCTCGCGGTGCCACTGCCGTCGTCGCTGTCGATCGCCGTCTCCGGCTGGCTCACCTCCACCAATGCCGAGCAGTGCCTCAACCTCTTCGGCCCCAACAAGCTCAAGGAGAAGAAGGTGACCCACCCAATCCGTAGTTTCTCTCCCAAGATTCAGTAGAGGAATTTGGCCCAATAGTCCCTCCAATTTGAAGTGATCAAGCCACCACTGGTACCAGTAGGGAACTGGTACTACCACCTCCTCCAGCTCTAGCTGAGCTCTCCAGTTCTTCTCCATCAGTGAGTTGCAATGGGAGCATCTCAACATCCTCTGGTAGAATCTGTGCAATCCAAGCCTTCTGGGACCACCCGCAACTGCTTTCTCTCTTGCAGCTCTTTCATAGTAATGGCCTTTATGTTTGGAGGCTAACCCAGGCATCCATCACTAAAGTTTCTTGTTCTGTTTAGGAATCGATTCGATGGTGCAGAGTTTTTTTTCATGTTTGTTTGTGTGTGTGTGTGTGTGCAGGAAAGCAAGTTCTTGAGGTTCATGTGGAACCCGCTGTCCTGGGTCATGGAGGCCGCGGCGATCATGGCCATCGCTCTTGCCAATGGAGGAGTAAGTAGTAATGAATTTAATGAATCATGATGTTCCAGAGCATGGCATGTGAGGGATTGTGAGAGGTTTGATTGAATTGACGAGGGTTGATTTGTTTGGTGTTTTCAGGGAAGCTGCCGGGCTGGCAGGACTTCGTGGGCATCATCACACTGCTCGTAATGAACTCCACAATCAGTTTTATTGAGGAGAACAACGCCGGCAATGCCGCTGCCACTCTCATGGGCTGCCTCGCCCCAAGGGCCAAGGTAATCGATGCCAATCTTTGTCTTTTGTGCAGCTATGATGATTTTGTGTTGTGATCTCAAGCAATACTGACTTTTGCTTGTGGTTGATCTAGCGGACACAGAATCGAGCTCTCCTTGAGCAGCTTGCCGCCATTGTCAACGATGACAAGGGGATGAATCGGCTGCAACAGGGAGGCTAAGGGTCTCAGATCCTCCTTCCCCTTGTCTTTGCCGCGGTGTTCATCCCTTTCACAACAGAGAAAAAAATTACCGGTTCAATCGGCGACAGCAATGGCCGCTCAACCTTGGTGGCGGTTCCTCGCCCTGCTGCTTCCGCTGCTCATAGCGGTCATGAGGCAGGTGGCTGGCGGCGTCCAAGCCCCATCCCCAAGGCTCTTCCCAGTGGCCATCTCGGTAAGTTACAGGAAGAAATCTCCTCTCATCCCCGATTCTTTACTGATGCAGCACGATCCCAATTTGTACGGGTTCTATTATTCACAGTATATGAGGATAATGGAGGTGCACAAAATGACTGATCCTTTATCGTGTTCGCACGATCAAAGGTTGCGTGTTTCTCTAGCTGTGGATATTTTTTTTGTTTCATGAATGTGTACATCACTATGCACTGATAATTAAGAGGTGGCAAGGCTGTGCTCAGAGGAGTTGCTTGGTTGTTCTTTGTTGCACAGAGTCGTTTCTGATGAGCTTCAATTTTGCATGCAGTGAGGGTGGCCGGATTTCTGATCATGTTGCGCGGGAGAGATGGCAGCAGCGGCTGGAGCGATGTGATGGGGAACAAGGGAGGAGGCCAGCATCAGGTGGGGACAGGAGGTTTGGGCCTTTTTATTTTTAATGAGGTGCAACCATCTGTCCATCTCACTCATTGGTACAATTACAAGTTTTGCTTGATTTTCTTCACTGCTTATGACAGCTGAGATAAAAGCTCATCTGTGCAGCTTCATATTTCTGATGCAGGGGTAGGGTAGTTGTCTGGTTGTCCATGTTCTAATTTACCTCATTAGTGTTGTGCTAAATCGAAGGCGAGTTCCAGTAGTGCCTTATTCACGGTACATCCTTATATCTAATATCCCCTTCCTTCATCTCATCTAATTGCCCCCACCAAATCTCTATAATCATTTTTTTCACCGTTGTTGTTGCAGATCATTAGGAAAATGAATCAATGATGTACACAAAAGCTGGCAGGTTGGATGATATAGTAGCTTTTCCATTCATGTAACTACGTAATATTGTATTTGTGCAATTAAGATTGTTTATGTGCTTTTTTTTTTCTGATGCAGTGCAACATTGCTGCCTTCCATGAAATGATTTCTTCCAAAAGAATGGAATGATAATTTCATCGTTCAGCATGATGCATTTTTCCACTGTATGTCTGTAGGACCCAAACCTCTTTTTTTTTAAATGCTCAATCATCGGTGCAATTGTGTATCATATGTCAGATTGTTGCATGTGTATCTGTCAGATTGGTGCAATCATGAATCATGTTACAAGCTTATGTCTTGGTGGCCCTTTTAAGTTCATTAATTTCTTATTTCAGCGCTCTCAGTGGAGTTTACCAAGTCTCAAGTTGTTACATCAATCCCAGGATTTTTCTTTTGCATATGGTATTCTGCGAAGAAGCATTGGCTAGCAAACAATGTTTTGGGGATTGCTTTCTGCATTCAGGTATGCTCTTGTCTTATCTTGAGATATAAGGTTAATATGCATTATTGAAATGACTATGGTTCAAGAGCTTCACAAATATGTTCTGTTTTCCTCCCAAACTTCTTGGAGATAAACCTACTGATTCTCTTTATCTTACAGGGAATTGAGATGCTATCACTTGGATCATTCAAAACTGGTGCTATTCTCTTGGTATGGGTGGTTTGTACTGAACTGAAACTTATATTTTCTGGCAGAAATCTTATTACTTTTTTTTCAACATTCTTCCATTAAAATCATTAGTTAGTGGAGCATGACAATACAATTTGAATTATCTGACATTGTAGAATTTATGCTTGTCTTTCATTTGCCTATGAAATTAAAATTCGGTTATATTTGTAGAAACCATTGCACTGCTTGCTGTACTGTGTAAATCATTATTTACTTGTAACGCTTATGTATCATGGGATTTCCCAAATCCGCTCCTGCTCCTAGCCTCGCTCGCCGCGCCCATCATCATCTCCACCGGCGATGACACTGCGGCCTTCGATTCCACCATCGTGGGGCGGTCCATCAAAGGTATAATCGTGCCCGCAGTTTGGTGCACCATGGGCGGATTTGGGACTGCTGCTGCGTTTGCACGGGGATCGTAGCGCCGTTCTATCTAGGGTTTAGGGCCTTTGGGGTGGTTTGGGGTTTTTGCTGTAAGATGCGTCTGATAGCATCTTGGTATTTTAGGTATTCTTGGGGTTTAGTCATAGAATTGGGTTTTGGAGTGGGTTTGTGGAGGGGTGATTGGAAAGTTGCAACTCTTTTGCCGTGAATAAATCTGCAGTGACATGCCTTTCCTTTCACTTCAAAACCAATGCATTTCGGTAATGTCTCAAAATTTGTTTTGTATATGGTGGTTTCGGCCTTTTTGGTTGAAGGATAAGTATTCCCGTTTTACGAAGTATACAGATGGATGATTTTTACCTGAATAACATCTCTTAATAGCTAGACCGTACCCACTTTGTTTCGATTCATCTCTGTGCTTGGTATGAACTTCTTTTCGTGTATAGTCCTTTTATTTACATATTCCTTTTAGCGCAACACTTGGATTTTCGTATGGTTCGCATATTTGTTTTGTTTCATAATCCCCTTGTAAGTTTGTATCTTAAAATTTTATGGTTCCAATGTCCTATTATTATTTTTTTTCTGTGTTTTTTTGACAGTCTTCTACATAACATGATGGTCTAATTGATTACTTATCAGC